CCAGAGCTTTGTCAGGTTGATTAGTTTCCAAGATAATCATTAAATTCACAAAAACGAATCTATGGCAAGAAACCTCAGCAGCCTCTGAAAAGCACTCAGCAAAACAAAACAACCTCACTTAGAAAAAGGAGACGCTGTTTGCTAACTTCAGTAATAAAATTACTTTATTTTTTTTTATGTAGTCTGATGTGCTACAACAATGGCAAGCCCATCACTGGTGCTATTAATTTTATACACTTGGTCTCAATCCTCAATTGAATTCAGGATTGCTGCTGTGAAGGTGACAGTGTGACAGAGGTGGGGTAATCCACTGCCTGGTCAGCCCTGAACAGGCAGTTGGAATAGAAAACATTTTTAGGTCCCCTCCAACCGAAATAGTTCTATTCTATTCTATTCTATTCTATTCTATTCTATTCATTTCATTTCTGAATCTCATGAAACTACGGAAACACAACTCTCAGATCAACCTGCTTCATTTTTAATGACATACTGTTTAAAAATGCTTTTTGCAATGGTATGTCATCCTTTCATTATGCTACAAAAGTGGATGTGGAAACTACCAGCCTATGCCCCAACTTTGGAAGGCCATGACTATTAATAAGGAATTTTGTCTTCTCATCTTGTTACTCCCTAAAAAAGTATCAGAGGATCCTTCTAGTCAGAGAGACTTCCTATTCATCAAATCATTACTCTCATTTTAATCTGGACATACTGACACATGCATGACCATAGAAAGAATATAAGTACTAAATTTTACATAATTCAAAACGTGCATCAATTGTGTTGCTGATTTCCTGACAAAAGCATGTTTGGGATACAGTCCTTTAGGACTTGATGTAAAGGCCAAATGTTTAGTATCAGCCAAACAGGAAGTATCATTCCAAGTTTGCAGCTAATTGGCTGATCTCTAGAGGATACAGGCTCACTGAATTCAGCATGGACTCACTAGAGCTTCCTACCATTAAATCATAAACAGCAAGGAAAAGAAAAGATCATGGTAGGAAGTCTGTTTAACTGTCAAGGGCACAACATGAATCAAGGAAGCAGTAGTTAAGCAAACTAGACTGCTGGCTGAATGGAAATGTTCAAGAAAAAAAAAATTTGGAGTGAGTTGCCATTGAAATTTTAACTGTTACCCTTTTTCTCTTCTTGTGCTTTCTGACTGGCTTCATTTGGCACTGAAACTGAGGAGTAAAATTATCTCTTCAAGGCTGCAAGGGACAGTCAGCTGTACTTGAACTAGAAAATAGTTTGCATGTAACATTCTGCACTGGCTGAAGAGTGCAACAACTAAATCCCAGTTATTATGAAAACAACCCAGGAATGGAAAATGTCTGAAAGGCATACACAGCCACACAATCCTTAAAAGATCTGTTCTTTTTGATAAGGATGATGAGCCAAAACCCAGAGACTACAGTGAAAAAATAACAGTAGTTTCATAATCCTGACATGATTATAGCAACTGTTGGCAGCTGTATGATTTGGAGTTCAGCTTTTCTCACCCTGTATATATTCTAGGTTTATGCAAAAGCACACCTATACACATATAGGTAAATATACATATGCATGGTTTTCTTCTGTTCTGCTTGTCATTCCCTCGTCTTCTGACTGCACTTCCCTGCAACACAGAAATGCTCAAAATGCATTTACAGAAACAGAAAGCCTACTGCATTACTCTTGTAGATAATAATGTCTATACTCTGACAGAAATATTTAGAAAAGCAGCACAGTGGCAGGCCAGTCATTTTGTGTCATCTTGGATTAATTTCTTTCTCCACTGAATCCAAATTACCATTCCTTAAGATTCCTTCAGAGCTAAAAATAAATCTAACTGTGAAAAACTCTCAAATAGTTACCAGAAAATTCCATATTAGAAACGGATGGAGCCTCTTCTTAGATGAAATTCGTATTTTGACCACAGCCTGATGTACTGAAGCTTGTCAGTTTGGTCATACTGAAATAGCCAAAATTCTGTCTTCAGCCACTTATGTCTCAGAGGTGCTGTACACTAATGCCTGTTATATAGCCTGTGCCATGGTTTAACCCCAGCTGGACATTAAGTACCACACAGCTTCTCACTTAGTGCATGTATCCTACCTGGTGGGTCAGAAAGAAGAATTGGGAAAAAAAAACAACTTGTGGGTTGAGATAAGAACAGATTAATAGTCAAAACTATTAGTCAAAAGTAATAATGATAATATTAATATTACTGGTTATAAAACTAAAGGAAGAGGGGGAGAGACAGATAAAATCTAAGAGTGATGCACAATACAATTGCTCACCAACTGCTGACTGATGCCCAGACCATCTTCAATCCACAACTAGTACCCCTCCTGGGCAGCAACCCCAGTTTATATATTGGGCATGATGTGCTATGGTATGGAATATGGCCATTCAGATATGCTGTCCTGGCCATGCTCTCTCCTGGCCTATTGTGCACCTATTCACTGCCAGAGAATGTGAAAATGAAAAATCCTTGATTTGGGGTAAGCACTCCTTAAACATCAGTGTGTTATCAACTTCATTCTTGTACTAAATTCAAAACACAGCACTGCACCTGCTACTAAGAAGAAAATAAACTATCTCAGCAGGAACCAGGATATGTTTCTAACTTGTCCGACAAAGCACTGCTTTGCCAATTAAATATTCAATTTCCACACTATCCTTAAACATCACTGACATATCTGTCATTCACTTGCTTTAGGAATTTACAGAGCTATCATCTTTGGCAAGATCATCTGCATAGCTCATCCAGAAACAAGTGCCACTTTGTTTGAGTCACCTTTTCAAACATCACTGGTCGCTGTTCAGCAGTGCTTTCCACCAAATCAAATTTCAATCCAATTTTTTAGACAACCTTTAGGAATTGATTGAAAAAGAGAACCTCACCTGTCTATTAACTGTCAAAAGACAACCAGAGATACAGCACTTTAGAGTCTTCTTACACTGTTAATATGACAATTAACTTTCACTTTCCTGTATTTACCTGTAACCATCTGAAAGATCAGTTTGATGAGAGAAAAATGCAAACTCAAAACAGTACCACAATCTTACATCTTGCACAACACATGCAAGAAGCCTATTCTTAATTCAAGAACATTAAGTGACTGTAGAATAAATCTACAATCCATTAATAAACATCCTCAGAAGATACAAAAAGACAGAATCAGATTAAAAAGTCTGCTTAATTGGAGAACAGTTCTTAAAGAAATGGAATAGAAAGTAGCTGGAGACATTTTCTTCTAGCTTACTAGCTGTCATCAACCTGGTATCCTAAACTTCATGGCAATTCAGCTTGTATCCTAGTTCACAATTCTAGTTTAGAATATAGACTGAATAAAGTTATTATGGGTATTTAGTTGAACTGAAAAGATAATCAGTTGAACAATGAAGAAAATGTTTACTTGCTTTTCCTAGTACGGATTTTGCTTGTTTCATGCATAGTAGTGCAGCTTCAGTGAGGCCAAAATTCACTTTTTGAAGGCAGGAACAGTAGAAAACTTCATGTTTCCTTTGGTTAATCTGTTCCATCACCTTTCTAACTCTGTTCAAGCCAGCTCAGCCACACTATCACAGTCTACAGCAGGCATGATGGAATATCCACCTAACAGCATCAATTACTCATGTTGTTTCTTTACAGCAACTCTTCTCTGTGGCACCAAACATTTTACCCAGTCTGTTCATCAGGCATTTTATAAATCCAGACAAGATTTTCTTTGTTTGGCTTGCAAAAGATATATTTGAAAAGTCAGTCCCAGAAGCTTGAGATGAAGAATGAAAAATACATCAATCCAACTTTCTTTTTTTTCTGGAAAGTTTTACTAGGCTTAAAGATTTTTCAGGTGGATCTATAAGTGAAGTGAATGCAATTTGAAAAATCCTCCATATAAAGGACATTAGAGAGATAACTAAGAGAGAACTAAGTTAGACATACAATATACTAAATTTTTAAGCCACTGAAAAAAATCACATTTTTTATTTTTGCTACTTGTTATTTATTCCTAATTTATCACTTTCATCTTAATCCATTATGAAACCAGGTATAAAAAAGCATCTAAGAATTAAAATATTAATGTGCTGTAGAAATTGTCAGAACAAATGAGCACACATTCAAAGAGAAAAAATGTTAACTGTTAAACACCTACAGTAACATGCAGTTATTTAATTTCTAATACTTTTTTTATAGTCCTTCTGTTTGTTATTTTTTCCCATCATTAATTAGTGATACTTGCTCCAGAAAGTTTTACATTGTACATAAAATTAACAGCAATCCTAGCTTTAGTTATTGATTGTGATGCATGGCTGAAGATTTCTCTCTAAGCATTCCAAATCTAAATGTAATTGAATACAAAATAATGCATTCACACTACAGGTAAGATTCATCCTCTTGCTTACCTTGAGTTATCTCATTGAAGCTACTCACTTGAGCATCCTGCACAATCACTGGTAAAAGGCACATATCTTCAGAAGGTAAGGGAACTCACCTGTCTTAGGATAACCTGAAAAACCCTCCTTCTCCACTGACACACTCAGCCTCTGTACTTGAATTACAATTTTTGGGTTAGGAGAGATTAATCCCAACAGAAATAACCCATGGGCCCATATACTTTTAGATGTGCAGGCAAATGGATCTGTGCTTAACAAAGTCACACTATGCTCATAGCCAGGTAAAACACAGCTGCCAACAACAATTATAAAGACTGTCTAGTTTACCAAACAGAATGCATGAACATGAATCTAGTCTTTTTTGTTCTTTTAAAACATGAAAAAAAAAGCTTTTCCCCAAGTAAACAGGGAAAAAAAAATTCAACTTTAATTGGTAAAATATCCTTTTAAACAGGTAAATAAACAGGTAGATTTAGGTAAATTTTCTAAAACAAGAGCAATGAAACATAATCTGTAAGAGTAACTGCTTTGTGGAAGGCAGATTATAAACTTCTACCTTGATTAGCATTTAAATAATTGCATGAAGAGTTTATAAATGCTGCAAAGAAACATACCTGGCATCAACTCAGCAGTATGGAATATCTTCTCCAGCTTCACTTTACTTTCAATTAATAACTCTTCTTTAGTTATTGGAAGGTCTAGAGTATCTCGAATAAACTCTGCTGCTTCTAGGGCTTGTCTACCTAGAACCAAGGATTTCACATCCCAGCTATAGGTCTTTCCAAAACGCCCACAGATCTCTTCAAACACTTTTGAATAGAGACATTCAGTATCTGTAAAAAATAAAAATAAAAAAATAAAAATTAAACCTATGTACAAACAAGTAGGCAGTTGGTCTTGCTAAGACACCACATAAATGGTCAGAGCATGAACTGCCAGGAGCCAGAGGGCACGTAGCACAGTGGATAAAATGTCTCCCTTTATTTGCAGGAGTGAACCAAGGCTTCTACCACCACTTCAGAGGTACCCAGGTCTTTCAAGCTGTCATTTCTGCATAAACAAAAGGTAACTCAATAGATATCTGGTGCTGCTCTTTCATTACCTTTCTTTACTATCCCAGATAGCAAGCAGTGTCTTAATTAAAATACTCTATTTATGCTTTTCATGAGAAAGAAAAGGAAGGAAGGAAATCTGGTACTTGGGGGATGCCATTACATATTCCATGTAAATTGAAAAAAGAAAAAAAGATTTAATTATTTAAGAGTGCCTTTGAGAGGAAGCTTCTAAGTGTCTTCAAAGACATTATGGTTATTATTACTACAGTGCTGCTGGCACCACTGCAAGAGATTACTCAAACAAAACACACTCACTTGTATTTCCAGGGGATTTCAGACAAGAGTAAACTTCAGACTCAGCTTTGGCAGTGATACTATCAGCTCATATGTCAAAGGCGGTTTTAGGTTTAAAGCTGTTTTTTTTTAAAAAAAGGAATTTGCCCTTTCCTCCCCTCCTCCCCCTACAAATTTTGGAAAAAGATGTTCATTAACATTTAATTTAACACTAATATGGGGACAAAATGTACTTCCAGCTCTTGTCTTCATTTCAGCAAAGATCTCAAACACAGGTAGAAAAGCCATCTGTTTATCTTTTTAAGTAGTCTCCTCTGAAAAGTCAGTTACTGCTGTTAAATCCATCCGGAATACAAACTGAGAACACAACAGGATATATGTGGCAGTGGCCTGTTCTAATAAAGGGAAGGAAAAGCAAGAATTCTTAGCTCCTGCAATTTTGAATAAATGTGTAAGTTTTCAAAATACTCTTTTTATTTCTATCTCTCATCTCTTGAAACATCTTTTAGATGGACATTATCAGCACAACATACTGTCCATCTGCTCACTACATTTCACTGGGAACGAGTAATATTCATCCCCTAGTCACGTATTATCTTCTAGTCATTTTTCTAGTGACCCTTCTTCAATATAAAAGCACAGTCAGCTCCACTGGTGGTGTTTCAAGTGTGCAAAAGCCAGCCACAATAAATACAAATAAAGTGACCAAAATGACAGAGGCACTGGATTACTCAATTTGTGATCTCGCACAAAAATATGCTGACATGAATTCAGAGGGACCTGGAAGTCACTTGGCAACACACCATAGTGAATATATGGATTGGATGACCTGCTTGAATCACTGCAGAGTCACAATTAGATGTGCAGATCTACCTAGGCTAGAGGTAAAGCAAACATCAAAATAGTATGTAAGCCTCATCTTTATCACTTACACATAAAGACAGTTTAAGACAGGAAATTATGACTTCATGGATACAGAATTTAGTTTTTGTATTTATGTATTTATTTATTTATACACCTTCTAATTGAATATTATGCTATTGTTATTCTAAAATAATCTCTAGTTTATCAAGAAGATGAGATCAGTAGGTATGAACCCTCCTTTTAGCCATAGCTCATCTTAATCATTAGCTTTGTGTTCTTTGTTTGAATAACACATCTCAATTTTGCATTAAGCTTCCCAGATGAAAAACACCAATGATTTATCCTTCTGCTAGGAGCCTAAACCATCTTAAACAGAGTTTTAATTGTATGCATTCAATATATTTCAGTAATTCAAAATCAGACTCTGGACAACTAAACTGCAGGGGTTTCTTTTGTTTGTTTTTGTTTGGTTTTTTGTTCAGTTTGGTTTTGGGGTTGTTTTTTTGTTTGTTTGTTTGTAAGGGATAGAAAACTGATAAAATAGAAAAATTTTAAATTAAGCAACAGGTTTCTTGTGTCCATACCCATGAGGCAGATTTCTATTCACAAGTGAAAGAGAAGCATTTTCAGTATTCAGTATATATTTTCTGTATAATTTAGCCAAATTTAGACACAGTAAGCCATTTTTACCAGCATTTTGGCCCAGGACTGAGAAAGACTCATTAGATGTTGTTACCATCAATACTGAATGAACACATAGGTGACTATGATTTTGCTTTCCTATCAGTCTTTCATATTAGTCCCATAATCTCTTCAGAGTATGCAACAGTGTAAAAAACCATACAAATTACTGAGATGCTCAGTTGGGGTACAGGAGACAAGTATAATTATAAACTGGATTATAGAAGTGTGAATTTTTCCTTTTAGCAACTCATTTGGTGGCATTTAGTACAGTATAAACTGTTAACTTGCAAACAAATCTATACAAGAGCTGATATGTGGACAACTGGGACTAGACCAATCAAGATTAGATATTTCCTCTACATATAGAGTTATAGTAATGACATTCACATTTTCTCTCACTTCTGGATTAAGACATAACATAGGCCTTTGTGTGTTTACTCTCCCATTGTATCAAATGAACAGTGTTAAAGAACATGGGATTTAAACACAGCAGTGGCAAAGCCAAAATAGCTACAGATTTCCCATCAGAAACATTAGCTTTGTCTAGTCCAGAGCATCACATGCTCAGTCATTGATCCTTATGCCCACCTATTTCAGTATCAGCAAAATCATGTACTCAGTTCTTCCTCTCCCAAGCACACAAAAGACATGGCTGAGCAGCTCACTGACCAGTTGTGTCAAGTCTGTGAGGCTCAGGAGGAGAACAAATGCTGCAGCACTGCATGAAAGCCAGGGAATGGATGTCTCAGCTAAGTCTCTGTACCTGAAAGAGATCTCTCATCCGTCTTGCCATTCTACGACCTCTCTCCCCCCAGACAGGATCTGCTCTTAGCTCATTCAGTTACACAAATGAACCAATTCCTGAAATATTTCAGGATTTCAACAGCTGAGGATGTGAGTATCAGTGAGCCATTCAACACATTTCCAAATGCTATGTGGACTACCACAAATTTTAGGAAGCACCACTGGTAAGATAAAAGCCACATGGGTATCCACAAACTTGGAAGATTCTACTGGTGATTTTGGTAAGCAGGAAAAGAGAAAAGAATGGGAAATAAATGGCCTCTGAACAGCAAACATGGAATGGAACAAGGAACATCCTCTCAACACAAAGAAGTCAAGGTATTACTACCCACAATTTATAAATTGCAGTTCCATCTCAAAAAATACCCAAAAAGTCCACAAAACACAAAACCAGAAATGGTTGCTGAGGGAGAAATAGTCTATGTCACTGAATAAGTGTTTGTGCATAACTCATTCTCTATTATTTTTTCTCCCTTATTTTTTTCAGAGAGAATCTGAGACATTCCTCTTACAGTATCGGCCAAACAAGATAGATAAAACCAGTATGAGTAATGCAAAAGAGTAGCAAGTATACAACTGTCATTGAAACAGGTCTGAAACTGCAAAAAGTTAAACCACCAGAATCACTTAAGAACTAGATAGCCTCCTGACTTAGCTAAGCAAACAGAAAATAGAGAAGATTTTATTTTTTTAATAATCTGTCGTAGACAACAATCTTGCAATTTGTGTCAAAAGGTCAGTTTGCATTGCTCCCTCAACATTCTTCCATTCACACTTTCACTACTATGAAAGCTAGTTTAAAAGTGCATGACTATGGTTACCCATGATGGCTAAAAGGAAAAAAACCCAGCAGTTTAACAACTGACCTTGAAACCACTTGCAGCAGCCCAGTAAAATTAGGGATGAAGAAGGCAGACAACAGAAATTACCTTTTGCAGAACAGCCTAACTGTTGGAGCACTAGTTCAGAAAATGAAGCTCAGTCTTTCAATCCATCCTAAGGGCCTAAGGCTGTTTTTCTAACGTACCCTGACATTTTTTTTGCTATTATGTTATGTACATATACACACTTCTATACAGATAAACCATTTATATTCTTGCACATAAGCATAAAGGCATTTATTTTTATATATTTACTTATATATGGTGTATGTATAGAACTGTGTTTTACAGGCAAAAGTGTATTTTAAAGAATAAAACTCAGGATTAGTATTAGCCAAAGAATACAAATCAACCTGAAGCCTCCTGGCTTAATAGCTCATTAAAGGAACTTGGTTCAAAATGCTTAGCACTGAAACTACACAAGGAAAAGGGATGTTCTATTCCTTACTATAGTGTTCCCCCATTCCTTCCATGAACTTGTTTAGGAAGAAAAATGAAATCAAAATTTATCCTCTTAGACACACTCACTTCACTGCCACAGAAGGAAATAAGCACTGGTTTCACACATGCTCAAGTGAAATATTTGAGCCATGCCTAAATGTCAAGGCTGAGGCACCCAACCAGGCAAACTGAACCTAAAGGCAATCTGGACCACCAAACCAAGGGAAATGTTGCTGCGGTATTCATGTCTTATACCTTCCCACTGATCCACTCTCATAACCAGTACCACTTAAATTCATATTATTGTTCCTTGGAAGTTAAAGGAAGGTGAAGTATCTATTAAAATAAACATCAAGCACCAAATAATGGCTACTTCAAAATCATAAGCCACTTATAAAGAGCAAGTTATTCAGTAAACCATTCTACATGATTGATAAACCATAACTTCCAAAGATAAAGAAAAAAATATTATAATTGCTGAAAATTAAAATTACTGCTTCCAATTTAATTGAAAAATGATTTGTAAATCATTACATTTTTGATTAGCACTTAGAAAAACTCACTGAAAAGATCCATTATTAATTTTAATAAGGAGAAGGTATAAGACTGTTCTGGAGCTTTAATTTTTGCAAACCTACTTCTTATTTTCCCTTGTAGTTGAATATTAATATAAGTACACTCCAAGGCAGATGAACATGTTACATTGTGATTACTTTACTAAGTCCAGAGAAACATGCTGCTACTAGCTAATTCAGTGTTGTCAGTCTGTTTGCCCTTCTCTGAGAGATCCTCCCATGAATTCAAGTTACT